TGGCTGCCGCTGCCGCCTTGTCTCCCAAGCTTGTCTCCCTTCATGATGGGAGACAAGCTTGGGAGACAAGCCGGCAGCGCAGCCAAAAGCAAAATCATGAAGGGAGACAAGCTTGGGAAACAAGGCGGCAGCGGCAGCCAATTTCCGCAATCCGGAACCCATCCATTGAGAAGTAAGAACCCCTATAGCTTCCAGCTATCTGGGGAACAAAAGGTCGGAAAAAATACAAAAAAGAATAAAACAACTCAAAAACGTCAAAGTTACAAAACAACTCGAAAAAGTAAAAAAATACATACATATATATATATATGTATAACACATCAAATAAAAGGCAAAAAAAATAAATCACTCGAAAAAAAAAAGAAGGTAAAAAATCAAAAACGAGTCAACATTAGAAACACAAAATTGACTTTGTTTGACTTCTGAAACTGCTGATTTGACTTTTGTTTGACTTTGACTTTTGGGACTGACTTTGTTTGATGTTTCTTAAATTTGAAAACAGGCTCTCTCCAATGAAAGATGTTTATATATGATATATGTTTATAATAGTAGCGATGTGCATTGCCTGGTAACCGAAGTGTGGCAAAGGTCACAGCACGGTGTGTCGTCAGCTGAATCCTCCAGATTTGCCTTCCGGTTAGAATGACAAGTGCGAAGGCAAAGGTTGTGCCAGCAAAGGGGCATGAGTGAACCAGAATTGGTGGTGAGTCTGAAGCGATGGCAAAGGCTACCGGGAGCCTGGAAGCCATCAATCACATGACGCGAAAGGGGTATGTTGCAGTCGAAGCACCACTCCTGTGTGGTGGAGGCTCGCCTTTGGTCGTAGAGCTTGGTTAGGATCCTGGGAGGGCATTTTGACATGTGCTTTGGCGGAATTCCAGGCTCAGTTCCTGTGGAGTGACATGGGCAGCTTGTCAGAGTTGCCCCAGAGTTGCTGGCCTACAATGTTACTAGGTTTGTTTCCAGTTGGAAGGGGAAAGGCAAACAGGAATTCTTGTCGAATGGTTTCTTCTGTGCGACTGTAACCATAGGATTCCAGAGCCTGGGCCAACTGTTCCTTGGGTGTGCCAGCAAGTCCAAACGGGGCCGGTGTTGTGTTCCATTCCGGTTGCTGGACGTTGTCCCCTGAGTCATTGTACCGGATTTCGAGATGCTGAGGTGGCTGCCTTGGCGGCACTCACCGCTTGCGCCAAACTAGGGTTGAGGCACCCCGTAGATGTGGCCCTCCTTTGCCCTGGAATGCAAGCAAGAAGGTATCGGCTGGGCTTTCTCGCAGTGCATATTTGGTTCCAGGCTTGTGGGTATATTTGGTTGCTGGCAGTCTGTGTTTCTTCTTGGTGATGCTGCTCTTGTCGCTAGTGGTACTGCTGGGACGACTTTGCAGAAGCTTAGAATCTAGCTCTACCTACGAGTACCCCAACTCTGTCCAGTGAGGAAAATTGTCCAGGAGTTACATTGGCCTGCCAGAGCCTGGCCCTGAGTTCCTCAACACTCTGAAGGTGGATCCCACTCATGGTCCGACCGCCCTTGCCCTGCCTACAAACTGAGGAAAGGGGTTTGCTCGGGTGGGAATGTCTTGAGGTAGTTTGTGCAGCCTGGCCTCCACCTGAGCATCCTCTCCCTCGCCACAGGCCACACCTGACGGCAACAACAAGTGAGGGATCTTGATAGTGTGTGAAATAAAGCCGGTCCAGCATAGCATCTGCAAAGGGAATACAACTACAGTAGTATCGGAAGCCACGACTTGATGGACCTGGGCCAACATGCAGTTTACAGAGGAACAAAGTGGGGAAGCTGGGCACTACTGAACCGATGAATTGTCTTGGGGCAACACGGGAACTGGAAAGATCCTATTATATATATCCTATTAATCGCGGTCTGATGAAGCCTGATGAGGGATAACGACGCGCAAACGCATCAGCAGCAAAAGAACGAGAACGAGATAGAGAAACTGCGGATGAAGATGCATCAAGATGTTCCTCGCACTTTGGTTCACTCGCGCACTTCAGTAAGACGTGAGGCATCATAGGTGTCAAGACCCAGCATTTTCATCAAGCAACTGGCAGCGGGACGCTCTTCAGTTCAGCCAAAAAAATATACGTACACTCACAATTCAGCTGGGTTAAGGTCAGCTGCATGAGGTGGCGGAAATGATAGTGTCTGGGTGAGTTATACCTGAGAAGGGAGGGGACGAAAACCAGCCCCTGTAGGGATTGAGAGGTCAATAAAAAGATATTGTTGTGATAGGGTGAATCGAAGCTGCACTTGTATATTTCTTACGTTGTTTAGCCACGGGGAAACAAACGGCAGAGATACGCAAAGTTTCACATTGAGGTTTGATATGATAGAGCCTATTTACACAAGGCCTTTGCTAACCACCCTCCAGTGTTGCTGGTCATAGGATAGACTTGGATCTCACGCTCTTGCACAAATGTCCAACTTGGACATTTACAGTTCTGCGGGGGTGCCCTTTTTCTTCCAGCTTAAGGCCCTTTTTCGCTGAAAAAGGGCACCCCCAAGCACCTATTCCAGGAGGACTATTGACTATTGCATTCAACCTTTCCAATCAATCTGCTTACATAAAGAAGCTAGGTCAGGCGCCGTGACTGTAATCAGTGACTTCGACCGAGCTACTAAAGCAATGAAAGTCAAGCGCGACTTTCGTTCCGTATTATTATGAACACGATGCAGTGATCGTCCAGTCTCCTGTCCTCTACCTGGACTCACACCACTTTGATAGTCTCCTGAGCACTTTTTGGCGCTAATGGTGCACTACTCAGCATCATGTGCATCACTCGCATCACCAAGACCCCTAAGCCTAAAACCTTACATTTCCACTACCTTCTGCGCCGCCTCGTCTTTTTCGCTCTCCCCCACCTTACTCACCTCGTTCGCCCATCGAGGACTCAGCCATGCCTATCGGCTGGCTTGCGTGATTAACTTAAATAATTTCGTTTACCTCGTACCTCGTCAATATAACTTCATGTTTTCGAAATTACTACCTCGCCTCGCATAATTTGTATAATTTCACTTCACCTCGTCTGCACTCCGCTGGGGGAGATCCGGCTGCAGGCACCTGGATGTTTGGGAGCCGCAGAACATATTCTCTTTTCGATCTCTCCAGCTACTCCTTCTCTACCTGGTGCTTGGGGCCTGGGGGATGTTGAACCTTCAAAGTAGGAGAGAGAGAGGTTCTGCTTGGCACGGTGGGTGGACTCCCTGTAGCTTGGGAAACGACACCCAGCAATGGCCTCTCCAACCCCCAAACCCTTCTTGCTGCTGCTACTGCTGGTGCTGAACTTACCTCGCCTATTTTCGTTTTGAAATGTTTCTACCTCGTACCTCGTTGAGCTCGCTACCATTCGCCCGATAGTGTGGAAGAGAATAAGGAAATGATAAAGAAAAGGACAAATCAAGACAAGGATGGATCAGGAAAAGGCCGAATCAACGGGCAAACACCACGAGGGAGTTGATCCAGGGAGTCCTTATCGAACACAATCCTAGCAGTCTTTGTAATCAAAGGATTCATCCACATCTGTAGCATTGACGCCACAGATCGCTACCACCAAAGTCATTGAAGCCTGACTGCCCACGCCTTGCTGCAAACCCTCCATCAGCTGCTGCAATGCCGGCCTCAATAGCAACGATGGATGTTGAGTCGCGGGTCAAGACTGGCTTGCACACCACTTGTTTGCTCCATTTAAAGTTTAATGTGTTAGAACCTGCTAGGTTAACAGCATGCCTCCATGCCTCAAACTTCCTTGCAATTGAACCACAACTGCAAACCTTCCCCACACTGGGACTGGTGTCCCACCCTCTGACCTCAAATCCTCGGTCTGCATCTCTGGAATCACCTGCAAGGGGCTCTGAGTCTTCATCTCAGATCACAACTTTTGGTCGTCAACAAAGCTGCCATGCTCCACGCCTTCTTCAGCATGTCAACCATGCGTTGATGAACACTTCGCATCGGATGATCTTTGGTCCTCTCCTCGCAAAGTAGTCAGTCATTATGGCATGCCCATGCATGCCACCGTTGTTGCTTCAAATATGGGCAAGTTACAACGCTACACCCAGTTCCATCCTCTGTTGCTATCACTAGAGTGTTCGAAAGATATCTTCCAAGTCCAAAGTTGAAACCCTCAAGAAAAATCAAACCAATTCACTCGGTGCAGTTAATGTGACGTCACCGCCCACCTCGGAAATACGGTGCCGAAATGAGATGCTGCGCTCTGCTGGATCAGCCTCCGCAATCCAAGGCCAAGGGAGCTCCTGCGGCGGTGCATGCAAAATTATCAATACGCTGTCCAACCTATACTTGAGGCCAAGGGGGGGGCGAAAGCTAGCGCTCCAGAATGGGAAAGTGGAGGGCAGCGAGGTAGGAAAAAACACGGCGCTCTTTTTGGAGGCAGGGGTGAAGAGTCCTTTATATGTGGCTCTTTGCCCGGATCCTCCTGCGAGAGAAGAGAGAGAAGAGAGACGGAAAGACGAGAGACAGAGAGGAGAGAGAGAGAGAGAGAGGAGAGAGAGATGAGAGAGATGAGAAAGAGATGAGAGAGATGAGAGAGATGAGAGAGACAGTGAGACAGTGAGAGAGTGAGAGTGAGAGTGAGCGAGTGCGGCCGCAAGATACGCAACGCTAACCGCATGCCAAAGAGCGACGACAGGACGGAGTCGAACTTGCGAAGAGGGAGGAGGGAGG